GCAAGCCACCATGGGCATATTTCTAAAAGGAATGACACTTCCTCAAGGAGAGCCTTAGGCAGGTCCTTCAGAAGACATCATCCTCACAGAAGACAGCTCCATTGTGTGATACTGCCCCTAAGACCATTTAGTGGGCCAAAATGTAGAAGTGGAAAATGGTAATACTGATGATTCTGACCTTATACAGCCCTACACTGATTGTGTTTGTGTGTTTGTTTCAACAAAAAGTTTACAATGTTAAAAAAAAATTTAATCACATAAAATAAGGATTAAAGAAAATATTTTTGTGCAGGCATACAATGGGTTTTTGTTTATACCATGTTATTACAAAAGAGTCAAAAGTTAAAATTTGAAAGTTTATAAAGTAAAAAAGTCATAGTAAGCAAAAGCTAATTAACCGAAGAAAAATATAGCCTAAGTGTGCAGGGTTTATAAAGTTTATAGAATAGTAAGTAGTCAGCAACTTCACATTCATTCCCCACCCTCCCCCACCCACCTCACCCAGACCAACTGCCGGTCCAGAAGCTGCACTGAGGCTCCACAAAGTTCAGACCTTGTGCACCATTTTCTTTTTTTTTTTTGTTTCTTTTGTCTTTTTGGGACAGGGTCTCCCTGTAGCCCCAGCTGGCCTGGAACTCTCCTATGTAGGCCAGGTTGGCCTCAAACTCACCAAAGATCCACATGCCTCTGCCTCCTAGTGCTGGGATTAAAGGCGAGCGCTACCATTCCCAGCCTGTCTACTATTTTCTAATCAACACATTTTTGCAATGCTGAGGACTGAACTAAGCAAGTGCTCTACCACTGAGCCTAAGGCCCCCGTCCTAGGCCATCTAATTCAATTTTGCCACTAATTCAATTAAGCGGCAACAAACCCCAACCCCCTAGTCTTTGTGGTCCTGTTTAACCCAGTCTTCCTTACCCTTGATGGATCTACATGCAGATTTATAAATGTCTTCCTATTAAAAACTCAAGTCTCATATTCCAGCTAGCCCAATCTGTGAGCCCATCTAGACAGCTGGGCATTCTGAAAGGTTGTTAACCTACTTGCTATTTCGGCTACTGTCTAGTACTTCCCAAATGTCCTCACCATATCTTCATGCAGATAAACACAGAATAGGCCAAGGGTGGGCAGTAAGCCTCCTGAGGCTTCTATTTGAGTGGCACTGATCTGCATAGTAGCAACTCATTTGAGTTAGGACCACACATAACTACACTGGTTAAGCCAGCACCCTGGTAACATTTCAGCATTTGGTCCCTAAGAACATTCAGTCTGGCAAATACTAAGAATCTTATACTTGAACTCAGAAGGGATTAAGACTGACAGAACTTCTCCAGTAACTCCCCCCACCTTTTTTTTTTTAACTGGCTTCAAACACACAGAGATCCACCTTCCTCTGCCAGGACTAAAGGTGTGTGCCACCACCCCCAGCTTCTGTCTTTTTCAAAAGGATACAAACTATTCTTTCTAGAACATGACTTCAGATCTAAATCAAATCCTCCCATTCTAGTCATTTCCTTACCCATCTTCTCCACTTGGAAATTAGGAAGCTGGCATGATATAGCTGTCTAGCATTTGTCTCACTCTATAGTTATCAAGCGTCAGCAGCAATTCCATGTATACCTGATCTCAACAGTTTTTTAACATAATTTCATAATGTCTAAGCAGAAGTTAAATTATTGGGAGAAGCTTGGCATCCTGGGGCTCTCAAGTCTCTCATACTCAGGTTTCCTTCTGTTCTTCATCTTTTTTTTTTTTATTTTTATTTTATGTGTATGCGTGTATTGCCTTCATGTAGGTAAGTGCACCAGTGTCGTGACAGAAGAGGCTGTTGGATCCCCTGGAACTGGAGTTACACTTGTTAGCTGCCATGTGAGTGCTGGGATTTGAACCCAGGTCTTCTGCAAGAACAGTCAGTGTTCTTAACCATTGAGCCATCTCTCCAGCCCCTCTTCATCATCTTACTTTATACAACCATGCCTTCCTGCTAGTTCTTCCCATTTCCCCATGCAGAACAGCATGTTTTCACCCTCTCCATTTTGTGTGTGTGTGTGTGTGTGCGTGCACACCCGAAGGATGGCACCTCAGGCCTTGCACATTGCTAGGCATTCTATCACTGAGTTACATCCCTAGCCCCGCTCCCCATACTACTCTTAAAGTTCTAAGTATATTAATGAGTAGGCATCTTCTGTTTCTCTTCCTGAGATTGCTCTCCCTTCCTTCCTTCCTTGGCTTTCTTGCACTTACACTCAGAATCTTAATTTTTGAGACTCAGTCCTCTGAGTACCCGTCTCTTCCAACCTCAAAACGGAGATCATTACTTTAGGTTTTAGAAAGTTCTCCCAAAGCAGATTCTGAATGTGACTGCAAGAAAGTCAAGAAAGGAGAGCAACCTCAGAAAAGAGGAGGCCAAGCTTGCAGACTACATCTGTGATCAAACATTACTACCTTGCCAGGCATGGTGGCACATGCCTTGAGTCCCAGCACTCGGGAGGCAGAGGCTTAAGCCAAGCAAGCTGACATATACCCAATAATCCCAGCTACTCAAGAGACTGAAGCAGGAAAATGATAAATCTGAAGCCAGCCTAGGCAACTTAGTGATACCCCATTTCAAATTTTTTTAAAAAGCTAAGTATATAAACTCAAACACTTGCCTAGCATACCTTAGGTCCTGGGTTCAATCCCCAGTACCACAAAAAATGTTTATAATCTTGAAAAGGTCTTAGAGCTAGTGCTGGAGAGATGGCTCAGAGGGTAAGAGCACTGCTTGCTCTTGTAGAGGACCCAGGTTCAATCCCAGCACACATATAGTGGGTAACAATCATCCATAGCTCCAGTTCCAGTGGATCCAAGGCCCTCTTCTGGCCTCTGTAAGCAATGCATGCATGTGATACACTTAACACACATGTAGGCAAAACACTCATGCACGTAAAATAAATCAAAAAAGAAATTTTAACTTTTAAAAAAGCTCTGAAAGCTGAGGGTGTACATTATAGCAGTAACCCCCAATGTGAGTGAGTGTGTGTGTGTGTGTGTGTGTGTGAGTGTGAGAGAGGGAGAGAGAGAGAGAGAGAGAGAGAGAGAGAGAGAGGAGAGAGAGAGAGAGAATGAAACTCAGCACATTAAAATACTAACGAGATACTAAGACAAAAATGGGGGAAAAAAACAATTACTTGCTTTTTCTAGCTCCACACTTCACCCTTTCCAACTTGAATCCAGAAAATCCAAGATCATTTAAGTGACTGAGGCTACTTCCTAGAAAGCTAAAATCTGAACAGGTAGTCACCCTAATGCCTAGCGAAGCAAGACATACCAGGTGATTAAGAGGGCAAGGGCAAAACTCCCTTGGGCACTGAGTCTTGAGTCTTTGGACCCAAAGCCAGGTGGGAATTACCATCTGTGAACCTAGAATGAGAATCCAAACACTCACATGGATGCCACTCTCTGAATGACCCACAAAATTTATGTGCTTAAATTCAATCTCCTTTGTGGTGATATTAAGAGGTGGAGCCTATTAGAAAATGATTTAAGTGTTGAAGACTCTGCCCTCATAAAAGGATGTCTTATAAAAGACCCAGAGGAAACTAGCTTGGACTTTGTATGCCCTGCTACCTTAACGTGAGGACAATGTTCCTCCCCTCCAGAGGATGCAGCATATCAAGGTACAATCTTAGAAGCAGAGAGCACCCCTCACCAGACACCAAGCTACCTATGCCTTGATCTTAGACTTCCCAGCCTCAGTAACAGTGAGAAATACATTTCTATTGTTTACAACATACTCAGTCTCAAGTATTTTCTTACTACAGAACAGATGAACTGTTTGATACTTATCCCTGAACCACACACTGAGCAACCAATGTTTTTGGTTTGGTTTTGTTTTAGCAATGCTAGGGAATCAAACCCAAGGTCTTGCATATACCAGACAAATGCTTTACTACTGAGCTATATCCTCAGCCTATTATCAACACTTTTCTAATACCTTCACCTGCCCTTAGTCTGAGCATATGTCTACTTTTCTGCCAGAGCCCTTGGATCAAAGCCCATGGGTAAAAGAAGAAGAAAACAGGGCTCCAGTCTCTAAATAGGCACTTTCTTTTTTTTGGCCTTTTTGAGACAGGGTCTCTCTGTAGTTCCAGATGGCCTGAACTCACTATTGTAGACTAGGCTGGCGTTGAACTCACAGAGATCCACCTGCCTCTACCTCTCAAGTGCTGAAATTAAAAGTGTGCACTACCACACCTGGCTAAATAGGCACTTTCTAATAGTCTGGTCTTGTCCAATTAAACATCCTTGTGGCCCTAATAGAGGCTCTCAGTCTTCCAAGAAACCACAGAAAATACACAACATGCACCCAATACAAGTTTATACTAGGGAAAGCCCTAAAGACAGGGTCAGTCTCGACCCCTTCAAGCCACTTCTGCTCACTCTACCCAAGTCATTAACCCATACACAGAAAATCCCCAATCGGGCTGGAGAGATGGCTCAGTGGTTAAGAACACTGGTTGTTCTTGCAGAACACCCAGCACCCACATGGCAGCTAACTGTCCATAACTCCAGTCCCAGGGGATCTGACAGCTTCTTCTGACCTCTGCAGGCATTGCACGACACGGGTGCACTTACCTACAGGCAATACATGCATACACATAAAATAAAAATAATAAATAAAATTTTAACAAAAAAGTCCCCAATTAGTCCTGTATGAGCTGGACTCCAAAAGGTCCTTTACTTCAGTCCACAAGCAAACAGAAGTACAAGATGGTAACATACTTGCCCTACCAAAAAATGTGGTAAGACCATGTGGTTTTCTGGAAAGTGGTCAAACCCTCCCAATCTCTATGCTCCCTCTGGAGATGATGACGTAATTATGTGGCTTACCAAACACAAACAGCGTCTCTGGGTCAAGTCCACAGACTGAGGAGTTGAAGCCACAGGAGAAGGCCAAACTCACAGCTCTATATCCCTGGCTAGCCCAGGGCTCCCTCTACAGCCCCTCCCCACTCACAAGGATAACAGCAAGGAAAAACCAGCGATGTAGAGATTCCTCTGAGCACGGAAAAGTTTCATGTGGAAATGCTCCATGGCCCCAGGATTGTTCTGAAGGTTCACTTTTTCTGTTACATCATCATACTTCTGAATCTCACGTACAGCATCTATGGTGGAGGAGAGAGATAAGCACTCAGCTGTTAGTTAGGTAAGGAAAACAGCAAGATGAGCCAGCCTTTCCTTCCAATGCACTTAGTACTAATTCTACAAAAAACTTTTGTGGTAGCTTTACCAAAAGTTCCTGACCTCAGACCCTTGCCTCTAATTTTTTACACATCAAGCCCTGACCCACTCTAGCTAGAGCATGAGCTTGCACTATACTTCGAGATGCCACTCAAAGTTGAGCCTCTGTTAGCAATGGAGACAGAATTCCTTTCCCATGATGCTCCCAAACTCAGCTTATTCTTTGCTCTCCAGCAGAGCTACCAGCCACTCCACTCACAAGACCTGTTCAGGAAGCTTGAGCTTCCTATTGAACATTACTATTTTTTATTTAATTAAAAAAAATTCATCGACTGGTGAGATGGCTTAGTGGATAAAGGCACTTGCTGCCAAGCCAGATGACCTGAGTTTGATCTCTGGGACCCACACAGTATAAGGAGAGAACTGACTCTTGGCAGCTGGCCTGACTTCCACACCACAAAATAAACTGTAATTTAAAATTTTTAAAGAGGAATTCACACTCACCAAAAATTCAAGCACCAAAAATATGAAAAGAGATTTTCTAATACAATCACCTACTGTGTGTGTGTGTCCATCAGATCAAGTCACTATTAGTCACATCACCCTACATTATCTGCTTTATAATATACATCTGTCTCTGAAAGTATCTTAAATCCATGTTTCCTGATCATCTTCCCCACAGTAGACTACAAACTTAGAGCACAAACCTTTTCTTCTATGTCACCCAGAGCCTAGCAGAGCTCTAGGCAGAGTAGGACTTCAAATAACTGCTGAGTAAGTAAATAGCCTCTGATCCCACAACAGCCACTGTCAGATGTACAATGTTCCAGGTTATGGGCTGGGGAGATGGCTCAGCAGTTAAAAGTACCGGCTGCTCTTGCAGAAGACCCGGGTTTGATTCCCAACACCCAGGCAACTAACAAACTCCAGTTTCAGGGGATCCGATGCCCTCTTCTGACCTCCATGGGCATTGCACAACACAGGTACACCTATCTACATGTAGGCAATACATTTACATATTAAAATAAAATAAAAATAATAAGAGTTCCAGGCCAGCTGGGCCTACAAGGACACTCTGTCTCAAAAAGACCAAAAATAAATAAATAATTTTTAAAACTTCCAGGTTAATAATATATGTCCTCAGAACCTTTGGTCTGTAATGTAGAAATGGAACCACAGCACATCTATTGATTTTCACTTACTCCAAAACCCTTTTTTAAAGTCAATACATAAAGGTCTACCTGAAGAACTGGGCACAGTGGTACACACCTGTAAACCCAGCACTTGGGAGACTAAGGCATGAGGGTCACACGTTTGAGGCTAGTCTGGGCTACAGGATAAGACCCTGTCTCAAAAGACCCAAAAAGGAAGCCAGGCATGGTGATGCATGCCTTTAATCCCAGCACTCGGGAGGTAAAGGCAGGCATATCTCTGTGAGTTCAAGGCCAGCCTGGTCTACATAGTGAGTTCCAGGACAGCTGGGGCTACATGGAGACCCTGTCTCAAAAAGACCAAAAAAAAGGGGGGGGGATTAAACTACGGCATAACCATGAGAGAACACTATGCCATTCTTTTAAAAGAATGTGATTGTGCCAGGCATGGTGGTATACATCTCTAATCCCAACAACTCAGGAGGGAGAAGCAGGTGGATCTTGAGTTTGAGGCCAGTCTGGCCTACACATCGAATTCCAGGCCAGGCAGAGCTACACAGTGAGACCCTGTCTCAAAAAAAGGGGGGGGGCAAAGAAAAAGAATGTGGTTGCTATCAAAAGATGTCTAAGGTACAGTTAAAATAAAAGGCACAATCCAAAAGTGCATATATGTGGCCAGGCCCATCTCTGTGAGATCAAAGCTAGCTTGGTCTACATAGTGAGTTCTAGGCCAGCTAGGGCTACAGGAGGCCTTGCCTAAAGAACAAAAACATGTATAGATGATCCCGGATCTGTAAATATTCCAATACATAACAAAGTATTCTGTGAGATATATGTTACAAGGGATTGTAACTTTTAATTTCTGCATTTTTAAAATATTTTATTTATTATTTTTATTTCATGTGTATGCAGCACGTATTGCCTGCATGTAGGTAAGTGCACCTATGTTGTGCAATGCCCACGGAAGAGAGAAGAGGCTGTCAGATCCCCTGGGACTGCAGTTACGGACAGTTGTTAGCTGCCATGTAGGTGCTGGGATTCGAACCTGGGTATTCTGCAGTAACAGTGTTCTTAACCACTGAGCCATCTCTCCAGCCCCTAATTTCTGCATTTTAAAAAAAATCAGCATTACTGAGGCTGGACAGATGACTCGGTGGTTAAAAACACCAGCTACTCTTCCAGAGGACCCTGGTTTGGTTCCCAGAACCCACATGGCATCAAACAACCATCTGTAACTCCAGTTCCAGGGGATCTGATGCCCTCTTCTAGCCTCCATGGGCACTGCACATACAAGTACAATTACATACATGCAGTCAAATCACTTGTACACTTAAACTTTTTTTCTGGTCTTTTTGAGACAGTGTCTTCTTGTAGTCCCAGCAGGCTTCAATCTCAGAGATCCGCCTGTCTCTGCCTCCTAAGTGCTGGGATTGAAGGCACACGCCATCATGTCCAGCAAATTTTATTTTAATCTGCATTATTTTCATAATGAGAAAATAAGGTAATGCTTTTTCACAGTTACTTATATCTAGGAATGCCATCATCCCAAGGACCACCTTGGCTAATAGCCAAGAGATTGGGAATGGGAAACAGTACTATCAACCCAACAACAGTAGCAGAACCCAGCTGCTTCTTATCAGGCCTCAGCCCACATGAATGAATTCTGACCCTCTTTACCTCCACTGCCCAGTAAGATATAATCTGGGTCCCTCCTAGATGAAGGGCAGGCCAAAGATGTAGCTCTAGCTGGTTATGCCCACTACCTTTCACAGTACTTGCTATTAACCAGCATTTCTATGTGCAGAAAGCATAGAGACCTTTCTAAATTATGCTTTTTTAATTTTTAAAAATTAATTTTATGTGTACAGTATGCATGTGTATTTGTGTGTAAATACAGGTGCACGTGTGTCCCGCTGTGCCTGAGGTCATCAGAGGGCAATATTGGGTGTCAGTCCTTGCCTTCCACCTTGTTTGAGACAAGGCCTGTGAACTTCCAGGGATTCTGCTGTCTCTGCCTCCCACCTCCCCGTAGGAGCTCTGGGAATATAGACACTCATATTCTGCACCTAGCTTTTATGTTGGTTCCGGGGATTTGAAATCATGTCTTCATACTTGCACAGAAAGTGTTTTTAAACACTGAGCCACCGTCCTAGAACCCTAGATTATGCTTCTTAACATTAAGGTAGAAAGTAGCCTCTCACTTATCAGAGCAATAGATCTCCTCCCTACAACCCCCAAGTAGATCCCGCATCTCCAAAAAGAAATTGTGTCAACTAGTGGCTTCTACATAGATCTCTCAGACCTAGTAAGCTTCATTACAAAAGGCTAGACTTTCACAGCTCTAGTTTAGGGACAGGACAAGACTGAGGGAATAATTCCTAACATGTTCTTGCTTCCATAATTCTTGGTTCTACCCCAAACTCAAAACAAGCACACAAACTTAGTTCAAAAACTCTGTAGCGTAGCTCTTCAGAAGGTCAGCTCTAAGGAAGACATACATATTCCTATCAGCTCCTAGCCCAGAAACTGCTCAGACCCCAATTGGAAAAGGCTGCCTCTTGGAGTCTTCCCAAACATATTTCAAGAATCATGAGGTAGTAGAGAGATGGCTCAGTGATTAAGAGCATTAGCTGCTCTTACAGAAGACCCAGGTTTGGTTCCCAGAACCCACATGGAGGCTAGCAATCATCGTCCATAACTCCAGTTCCAAGGGATCTGAAGTCCTCTTCTGACTCCCACAGGCATTGCATGACATGGGTGCACTTACACACATGCAGACAAAACATACACATAAAATTAAAACTAAAATTAAAGCCAGGCATGGTGGCACATGCCTTTAGTCCCAGCACTCAACAGGCAGAGGCAGGTGGATCTCTGAGTTCAAGGCCAGCCTGGTCTACACAGCAAGTCCAGGTCAGCTGGGGCTATAGGGAGACCCTGTCTCAAAAATGCCCGCTGCCCCAAAAAAGAATTATGAGGTATGTGGGTAGCTGGCACCCAACGGCTGTGTGCCTGGGAACCAGTGAGTGAGCCATATCTGGTCTGTTCAGAGGCAGTCCTGCCTGAACAAATCCCATCAAGTCCTGAATATTAAGAAGGAAAAATGTCCAATGCTGTAGCTACTGGGTGGTGCTGTACACAATCCTTGACCCACACCTCTACCCTGAGGTATTTCTGCTAGGGACTCAAGGAAAGGCACACTCGATGCCTAAGTGGGCATCACAACTCTGCACAGGACTTCTGTCCCAGCAGAGCCAAGGAAATACACTACAGAGTCCAAGCAGAGGAATAGACTGACCACTCACTACAGTAAAACAATACATAACAGTCAAATAGGAGCTTTATTGATTCCGAATCTCTATACAGTCTCATTACCATCTCACTGTAAAATAAATGTTCCCCTTCCATCTTAACACTACCTGTCATGGCCACAGACCTGAGCCTGCCCTCTGATCCATTTATCTTTCAAAGTCCTGTGGGTATGTGATTAATGCTGGGGTTTACAAAACTACACAGCTGGAAGGACCTGGAAAGAATTCCAAATCTATGTGGATGCAGAGGGCTCAGCTCTGTCCCCAAGACATTGTCAAACACCTAGGTTTCTACTTCACACCATAAAAAAAGGCAAAGCCTGCCTGTGAAGGGTCTACTTGGTTGCTCAGTCCTGTACTAGGAAGTCCTGTTTCACTATGTATGCTGGTACATACCCATAACCCCAGCTCTCAGGTGACTGACTCAGGACGATCAAGCCTGGACTGCAAGATGAGACCCTGTTTCAAAATAAAAAATCTCTCTTAAGATGAGAGAAGGCCGGGCGTGGTGGTGCACGGCTTTAGTCCCAGCATGTAGGAGGCAGAGACAGGCGGATCTCTGTGAGTTCAAGGCCAGCCTGGTCTCCATAGTGAGTTCCAGGCCAGGTGGGACTTCAGGGAAACCCTGTCTCAAAAAGACCAAAAAAAAAAGAGAAAAAATTAAAAACAAAACAATAAAAAAGAAGTGCTGGGGCTGGAGAGATGGCTCAGCGGTTAAGAGCACTGACTGCTCTTGCAGAGGAACCCGGATTCGATTCCCAGCACCCACATGGCAGCTACAAACTGTCCTTAACTCCAGCTCCAGGGGAATCTGAAGCCCTCTTCTGACCTCCGTAGCATTGCATGACACGGGTTCACTCACATACTTAGACAATACACTTGTACACATAAAATAAAAATAATAAAATATTTTTTTGAAAAAAAAGAAGTGCGTGGAGACCACAGTACAGTCCTTAACTCCAGTTCCAGGGGAATCCAAAGCCCACTTCTGACCTCCGTGACATTGCATGACACAGGTGCACTCACATACATGCAGACAATACACTTGTACACATAAAATAAAAATAATAAAATAGTGAAAAAAAAAAGAAGAAGTGTGTGGAGACCACAGTACTATCTACATAAATGATAAACAGCACTCTTTGGAACAAGATCATGGGCCAGTTAGTTTCTCTTAGCATCAGTTCTAAAATGCCTGGGGCACCTCAGAAACATATAGATGCTCATTATAAAAGCCACTCCGCGTAAGCCCACATCCACTACTAAAGGCACCTCACAAAGTGAAGACCTTGCTAACAGTCAGCAGCACCTCCTTCACAGACAAATGAACGGAGCCTTTTCCTCAAGAGAAAGACACAAAGGGCACTTGTTCGGCTTCTCTAAAAATGCAAAGCTGTCCTCCAAATATCCAATGTGGCACAGGGCTTTAGAGGCCATGACACAGGATCTGGTCAGGCAGCTACCCCACCAACCAACTCACTCACCAATGACCAACAGCACAAGGATGACAATGAGAACCACAAAGAAGGTATTGCCGTAGGTTACTACCAACTCCACCAGTCGGGACTTGAAAATCTTCTGCCATCTGTAAAGGAGATAAAAAGATAGACACTGAAGAAACACACACACACACACACACACCCTATACTCCACACACCCCCGAGATCCAAACTCCTTGGCACTCTTCTCCAGGGCCAAAGGGGCCTGTACACAATCAGCCTCCTCACCTACTTAAAATAATTCTCTAATTTATCATACCTGCTCAGGAGTGCTTAATGAAAAAGATGCTTGTCCATGTGTAGAAATAGCTAGAAAACCAGTCTTAAGACACTGACTGGTAGCCTCTGTGAGGGAAACTTACTTTTCATTGTACTAACCTCTGTAATATTCCAAGTGCCTGCCACAAATACATGGCTATTACTTTTGTCTTTCTACTTGACAATCTTCATCTGTCTAGACCCCTACCACCCTAGCTTATAAAAAGGAACTCAGGCTTCCCATCATTTCCATACAAAAATATTCAGAATGTGGCTGTAAAGAGAAGAGCCTTCAGGAGTTCTATATTGCTAAAAATCAGCAAACCACCTTCATCATCAGATGCAGAGTTAAAAATCAACAAGAGTTCAGTTCATTCTGAATTTTCATTTAGTTGGTATCTTAAACCGCTCTTATTAGTCAAGTGTCCCTTTCCTTCTCCCTCTTTTATGTGTTCATGGAGGGTGGGGTACATGTGCACAAGTATAGGGACTAGAGATCTGCATTGGGTATATTCCTCAATCATTCTCCACGTTACTTCTTCTGACACAGGGTCTCACTGAAGGTGGCACTGATTCAGCTACACTGACTGATGAGCAAAAACCCCAAGGATCCTTTATTTGCCTTCCCAGCACTGAGATTACAGGAGTGTGCTACTGGGTCCAGCTTTATCAAGGGTGTTGGGGATCAAACTCAGATCCTCATGCTTCACAGTAAGGACTACTGAACCACTCCCTCTTCCCTGCAGCCCCCATACATCCTGCCCCACCTTTTTTGACATAGGGTCTCATGTAAGCTCAGGCTGACCTCAAACTTGATACATAGCTAAGGCAGGCCCTGAATGGCTAGTCCTGCCTTGACTTCCTGAATACTGGAACCAGGTTAGTTGTCCTATAAAGCATCCCAGATTACAGTTCCACTGGGTTCTCTGCCTCTGCATTTCTTGTGAACTGTATGCAGATTTGGTTTTGGTAAGAATATTCCTTAGGCCGTGTATAATCCCAGGACTCAGGAGGCAGAGACAGGTGAATCTCTGTGAGTTCAAGGCCAGCCTGGCTACATAGTGAGTTCAGGCCAGCTGGGGCTACAGGAGATCTCATCTCCCAAAAGACCAAAACAACAAACAAAAAAAGAATATTCCTTAGGTATAAACCTGTGATGACTTAATGTTCTAAATAGGGATAGTGTGTTCATGTGTTAGGTATAATTTAAAAAATATATCTAAGTTTTAGCAGAGCCTCCATTTGTTAAAAGGGAATATGAGCCCGGCATGGTGGCACACGCCTTTAGTCCCAGCACTTGGGAGGCAGAGGCGGGCGAATCTCTGAGTTCGAGGCCAGGGTGATCTTCATAGAGAGCTCCAGGCCAGCTGGGGCTACAGGGAGCACCTGTTTCAAAAAGACCAAAAAAAAAGGGAACTATGGGAATATGGCTTCAACTTCCATAGGCTGAGTAATGCTCATTAGCCTACTATGCAATCCCAGTGAAGCTAGTTAGGAGGACAGAAGTCAGCAAATCAGCAAACAATGTGAGCCAGTGGTGTGAGGTGCTCTGATCTCACACAGCCATCTTCCACACCCCTGAGGCCCAAGGGCAGGCAGGAGGGCATCTTTCCCAAAACTGCAGATAGATCTTGTTCCATTGCAAAGGAACATTCTGAAGACTTGGAGGCAGGAGGCACAAGACACAAAGTCAAGAAGGGGTGACAAAGCAAAAGAAAGTGCAGGATTGGCAATAAAAAAGCATACTCCTGCCACCCTCATTCAGACAGGTTTTACTTGTTTCTGTGCAGTCCCGATTTCAGGGTCCACCAACTCTGAACACAGAAACTGCAAAGCTTAGAGATAGGTAGGTACCCTCCCCGTTTGTGTGCCTGGTTGCACCACTAGTCATACCTTTTTGGAGAAATAAAGGGAATGCAGAGAAGCAACACAGCGAAGACCTCCGCATAGAGGAAGGTGGCAACTGCACCCCACTGCAGACTCATTCTGTGGCTAGAAGGCCTCCGACAGAGAGATATGACCTTGTTTCCTGGCAGGGTACAGAGGGAACAGGAGGAACCATGTGAGCTGGGCAGCCATTGGCATCTAGTTCAGGTACCCTGGACAAGCGAGGGCTGCCACTCTGCCCAGTAGACCCAGCACTCTGCTTCAGAGCTTTTGAGGCCCTGGCTGAAACAGGGCTTAACCTAAGAGGGCTACTTAGCCAACGGTCCTAAATGACCAACACACTCCCTTTTACTGGGATGCTCAGTTGCCACCCTTCAGCCTGGTTGTTAACATGTCCAGAGCCACTTAGGTTGACGGTCTCTTTCCCCGAGACCAAAGGACTCTTAAGGTCTGTTTAAGGAAGAAAGCACTTTTCCTTAAAAAAAAAAAAAAAGTACGTCAAGAGGACGTTCTCGGCACCACCAGGCTTCCTTCCCAAGGTAGTGCTGGGCCGCAGGGGCCGCCACCCAGCACCGCAGTGTTTCAAGGTTTCTATCCCAGCACCTTCTCCAAAGCGCTGCGGCGCGGTCCCGCCCCCGCGGAAGCCCGAAGGCTCGTTCCTCCCCCAGCAACGTACGGTCCCTTACAAAGGCCCACAAGGGTGACTCCTAAAGGGCAGGAGTCAGGGCCAAAAGCAAATGCAGTCCTCAACTGAGTATGTCAAGGCCTCACCGGGAGAAAGATCTAGAACGAGCAAGTCCCGTCTGAAGCCAGGGGCCCTCCCAACAGCCCTGGTGAGCCACGACACCACCCAGGTCCATCGCCGGCAGGGAACCAGGTGGCCCTCAAGGAGCCCAGGCCCGGCCCACCGCGCAGCTGCTGCGGGTTCGGCCTGAACAGCGGCCACCCCCGGCCGCCGGCATCGGCTTTCGCGGCCCCGGAGCCCCGCTCTACTCATTACCCTAACGTCCGTCTGCCGGGCCCTGCCCCGAACTCCCAAGTTGGCCCTGGACCCCGACATTCTCCAGAAACCCTACTCTCCAGGCGGCTTGTCCTCTTCCCTCGTAACAGGGCCCGAGGGGGAGAACCTCGGCGGAAGGCCAACCAGTCACGCCGCAGACCCCACTTACCGACTTTCACTCAACGCTCACACCCAGCCAACGCTCACCACAGCTGCGGCCCCGCCCCTTACCCGCGGCCGGAAACCGGAAGCACGCGTCTGGCCCTGCGTACCGCCTACCAACCCTTTGAGGCCCCCAACGGCTCCGCCCACTGCCGCTTCCCGCCCCGCCCCAACGTCCAGGACTTGTTGCCAAGGTTTCCAGAGGAAGTGGCGACTTGCTGCCACTAGCGGCGCCTCCGGCAGTTCGGACACGCAGGGGTGGGGTGGGACGGAGCCCTGGCGAGAAGGCGAGGGCCGCTTCTCAAGCCTGCGCGCTTGTCCCCCGTCTCCGTGCTGGGGGGGG